GTTGTTCAGCATGGGGGTGAGTAGAAAATGAAGGCTAATCATGTTTTGGGTGTACTATTCCTTTAAGCCAGCGGGATAGGGTAGAAGTTCGACCGCCCCAAGATGGCCGCCGTAATTCCTCCGCCGCTACCGTCAATGCGGGGTCTACTCTTTATATGTATGTCCCCTACTGCTTTACCACCTGTGGTGCAGTTTTTTTTAAACTGCTTTACACAGACAAGGACAGAAGAGGGCGCCAAATCTATTTTAGTTGAATATGCAAATAAAAATAGAAAGGTGGAGCTGCTTTGCAATCCCATTACTTCTTTTATATGAATCTAAAAACTATGTGCTTGTTACATAAAAACATAATAGTAGATAGATACATCAGTTCAAACCCTTGCAGTATCCTGACAGGCTGCTTTCAAAAATAACAAAAGACCACTAGAGCCTAAAACATAATCTTTAAACAAATATCGATTATTTTATTTGCTGAAGTGACATAAAAAACAATCTCAAAATAATAATATCAATGTCCTTATTTGAGTGAAAAGTCAAAGAAGTGTGATATTGAAGTAATGTCAAAATGACATCAATAAAATCTTTGACAAACATCAAGTTGATGTCAAAGGATTATGTTGATTTATATTTTTGACCAGAATTATGATTAAAATTTGATTTCAGTATTTGATGTAATATTGATGTTGATTTGATTTAACGGTGCAAATTATTGCAGATTATGCAATGGGATGACAGGTACACGGCTATCATTACCAATGCAGAACAAGTGAAATAATAAATGTGATATTTGAAAACAATAAATGAATCTAGACCTGAATTTGTGCTTGTCTTTTTGTGCTTTATCTGGAAGCAGGTAACCGGACCAGCAGTCTAGAGCCTCTCAGACTTCCTTTTCCCCAGACACCTAGAGATAGCCTAGTCCTTCTAGCATGTCCTGGGTCATCCTCTAGGCTTAGTCCCGTTAGGACCTGCATGGAACCTCCCAAGGGTGACTTGATTAGGACAAACAAAAAAGATATTCAAACCACATCAGCTGGCCTCTCAATGTGGAGGAGAAGCTCATTTCACCTGCTTGTATCCGGGATTTAGTTTTTTCGCTTATGATCTAGATTTTAATACCATAGGGTAAGAACATAAATGGAGAGCTTTGTTTTTTTTGTCAGCTCTTCCTTCACCACAACAGACCGGTGAAGCGTCTGAATTAAAGCAGCAGCCACACCAATCTCTCTGTCAATGTCTGGCGTTGAAAATGTATATTTTCTCATTACAATTCCTACTCCTTAATTTTGAAACATGAGCAATAAAATATGTCATTTGACCTGATATGAATTTTAAAGCCAAAATAACTTCATAAGAATGTAGTCATTTTTAAAGGAACTGAAAAACATAGCGATTTTCTGTGTTTTGGAAACAACAAAACCATACCGTTAAAATAAATGTACAAGACAACAGAGTGACTGTAAACAAAAAAAGAACTTTGATCAAGATCTTTGGGTAGCTTGATTTTTTTCACAATGAGGAAGTTTAAATGCCAAGTTTCACTGAGAGCATAAGACACTATAGTTCCAACTCTAAGAAACAGACCGAAGCTGGTCTGTCACATAGACATCTGTAAAGGGGCATTTTTAGATAAGAAAACTGGTTAGTTAGTTTGATCACTGCTGCACTTTATAAATGGAGATGTTCATTTCACAGCTAAGCTGCTCATTCACTGTTGGAGAGCTGTCTGCATCGGAACACTGTTGTCTATAGACTCTGTGTATGCAAAATGTCAATAAAACTTGTCTAGTCTAAGTCTAAGCCATTAGAGCGAACCTTCTCCTCTTATGGATTCAGTCAAAAATGACTCAGGTCATTTATAGCACTTATGACTTCTGAATTCCTGGATGGATAGAATAGAATAGAGGGCAGTCTGTTGCAGCTGGGTGCAGCCCACCTCTCGCCCATAGACTGCCAAAAATAGGCATTGGCCTCATCGCGGACCTGACAAAATAGGCGGTGAGAAGAAGCATGAATAGAATAGAATAGAATGACCTTTGTCCTATTTACTGGCCCTCATTTTCGCTAAAGGTGAAGCAGAAGTTCCTGACCGTTCACTATTTGACTACAGTGTGAATTCAGGATTTTGAAATGAGCCACATTAAAAAGAAAATGCCAGCCACTTTCTAGCAAACTAACAGACATGGGACCTTAATAGTGAAAACAGCCCAACTTCAATATTATAAGCTTATTTGTCTCCTATGTTCCCTCCAAACAGGGCAGGTCATGCATGTACAAGCATTAACTAATTGCAAATAAGCCCCAGCTGTGAGAAAGAGGAAGCATGGTTTCACCTCTTCAGATAGTGAATGTTTGAAAATGATCTTTCCGTCTGTTTTTTTAATTACTTACTTCTCTCTTTTTTTAACACAGGGTTTATTTTGAGCGACCTATCAATTCCATGGTAAACATGCAGAAAAAAAACAACAGAGGAGTGTTAACTCTTGAGTATATCACAGGAAGCAACATTTTACACATTCTTTAAGCAGAGGCTTTGCATTTTGAAAAGGAACTGGTAAGCTTCGGTGATGTATGCTAAGTGTTTCTGAGAAACCTTCAACCTCAGCAATGCTCTCTGTTAGATGTTGAGAGAACCGTGTTAGTTTGGCAGCTACAGCAAATTGTGATCATCACTAACGATGGCGTACGGTGGAAACTTGAATGACAACATTTGTGAAAAGGATTGTGACTATGAGTAAGTTTTTCTTCTTTCTGTACGACGCATTCTTTTTTAGGAAGTGCAACATCTTAAAGGGCATCGGAGATCTTGATTCAAAATTCTGTCGACCTAGAAAAAGGCGTAAATATATATCTTTTTAAAGGCTTGCGTTAGATTAAGATCCTTTACTCCTGTTCAGAATTATAATGTATAAAAAGTTAATGAAGTTGCAGGGACGCTCTTCAGTGAAATAAAAGTTCTTTATCCACTATTGTACCAAAGACATTTTTGCTTTCGGTTTGATTAAAGGTTATGCAAGGGACTGTTTGGTTGAAAAACTGCAGAATTTCTTTTAGTCAGTATTATTTTCCATTTAATGCAGAAACATTGAAGAAGGTGAGCCTAGGCAGGATTCTTTTCAGCTCATCAAAGAACCAGCATTCAGTGTCCTGGGGTATCCTGAAGCCATACAGATGGGAATGATTACAGAATACTCAGACACCTCTGGTATTTACTTCAACCAAAGCTTTCAAATCAAAGAACCATTTTTTTTTATATTTGATAATTAGAAATAGCATTAAGATTAACTTCATTTTCAGACAATACATCAACAAGCAGCAGTGAAGGAAGCAAACAATCGCTTCGCAGAAAACCGACGAGGTCTTTGGAAAGAAAAAACTGGTCAGCCGAAACGAGGAGGGTGCTATCCTCTATGCCCAGCCGTAAATCTGGTGAGTTTAAGCTTAAATTTTCACCTTAAATAGTGTATGCAACTGAATTTTTTTATGTTTCTTTTTGTTTTGGGTACAGGGATGCACAGTTCTGCAGGTTTAGCCTTACAAGGCAGACAAACACATGCAATACAGCAACACCAGACCTCATCCTGTGACTCCATTCTTACTGCGAGACTGACCCATGATTGTATCATTCAACCCGAGTTGGAGGAAATCAGTACTGGAGGTTGCAAATTTTCAGAACCCAAAACAAGTTTTCAGTTTCTTTTATTTTGAAATGCAACAGACCTTTTCTGCCACAACAGCTGAAGTGGAAGATGTTTGCTGTATCCACAGAGAGAGCAGAAAATGTAGCTGGTTCAAGCTTGTGCGGCGTTGGAGACCATATGGAGCAGTTGCTGTCACATCTCAGGGGCCTCACTGTGAGTGAAGGTATGCGAAAGCTGCGGACCACACCACTCAGCCTGGCGGACAAGAGGGAAATCAGGTAAATGGGACGAAGATCTTATTCACTACTGCTTTAAACAATCATCCTGAACAATCTAACAAGGTAGATATACAGTAGATAGTCTCTTAAACATTAACACAGTTTCCTACAAAACAACTTTGGCTCAGAAACTAATTGCAGATAATTTGTGTAACAGAGCAACTGCTTTAGATATCTGAACCCATCCTAGGAAGCTCTACAAGATTGTTGACTTTCATGAAGTCACTCTCCTCCAGTAGAAGAATTACCAAGATGCCTTCTGGTTATACAAAGAAAAAGCCTCTGTAAATGGCTATAGGGAGGTATTGTGACTTTGCTTTTAGATGGACAGGTAAATGGATGGATAGATTAATAAAATTTTGGGGAAAAAAAATCTCAACAAAAAAAAAATCGGCGTATAAGCCATTCAAATGGGGAAAAAAATACCCAAACTATTTAGGATTATTTCGGGTTCGATTCCCAGTCCGGAGTCTATCTGCATGGAGTTAGCATGTTCTCCCGGAGCATGTGTGGGTTCTCTCCGGGTACTCCGGCTTCCTCCCACAGTCCATAAACATGACTGTTAGGTTTTTTTGGCTTCTCTAAATTCTCCTTAGGTGTGAGTGTTTGTCTGAATGGTTGTTTGTCTCTGTGTTGCCCTGCGAGGGACTGGCAACCTGTCCAGGGTGTATCCCGCCTCTTGCCCGTAGACAGCTGGAGATAATCACCAGCACCCCTCGCAGCCCCAGCAAGGATAAGCTTGATAGAAAATGGATGGATGGACATTTAGAAATGTAGATAGCAAGGCAAGGCAAGGCAAATTTATTTGTATAGCACAATTCAGTACAAAGACAATGCAAAGTGCTTTACATGATTAAAAATAAAGGGAAAATAAAACAGAATCAAAGCAAGTAGGAAAAAAAATAAAAATGCAGAAACAAAAAAGAACATTAAAAACAGTTGGTCTACAAAAAAATAAGATAAAAAAGTTTAACTAATGATGATTCAGTTGAACTGTTTAACTAGAACAGTCGCAGGCAATCCTAAACAAATGTGTTTTTAGTCTTGATTTAAAGGAACTCAGGCTTTCCGCACTTTTACAGTTTTCTGAAAGTTTGCTCCAGATAAGTGGACCCTAGGATCTAAATGCTGCTTCTCCATGTT